TCATCTACCGTCTGAAATAGTGTTCAACATCTGTCACAACTTTTAAAAAATATCTAGATGCATATTGGGTATATCAAATGTACAATCGCATATAAACAATTAGACCTACACAAGTAGATACAATATTACAAAAGGTTGAGAGGCTTTTTTATACACCTAATTATTCTATTTGTAAAATTATAACCTTCGAAAATAATAATAATATCAACAATTATAATAATAAAAATATGTTATATCAAAACTCTTATAATAGTTATTTGCCTAAAGATACTTTAAAATCCTCCTATGTCAAGTTTGTTGGTATATCATATTTTAATGAAATCAACCCTAATACTTAAATAAAAAATGCTGCTTATCATTTTTTTAAATCTTAAATAATAAACTTATACAATTCCCTGTAGTTTTACTGCAGTATGCCAGTAAACAAACTCTTGTTTTTATTATAGAGTATAATTTTATTTATTGTAGAAATAAAATTAATATGAAATTAAATTTAAAATTAATTAAACACTGAATAATTTTTATGTTTATTTTTTTAGAATTTTTTAATATTTTTTTAAAATATTATTATGGAAACCTTTTCAAACCACGCAAACTTTAAATTTCACTTTTTTTTACTAACCAATAATCAAACTCTACTTAAAATAAAAAGCGATTACATTTAACATTAAGAAATGAAACTCAATAATTTTGAGACTAATATTTTCAGTTAAAGAAAATAATCTGAAAAAAAAAATTAATCTGAATTTTTTTTATATCATAAATTTATTTGTAATAATTTTTTTAACTGTTGTTCCGTTAAACTGAAGGTGACAATAAAGTTTACAAAATTAGCTCTGGTTGAATTTTTCAATGAAAAAACAATATGTGTGCCATAAATGTAATCTGTTTTTCATGGCGGATCAATGAAAGTTTGGTGTATTGGCCAAATCACTTGCAAGCATCTTGCCTTTAGGCTGCCATACGTGAAACACCGCTTTTAAAAGTAACTTAAAGCAGCTGAAAATAAGAATTTTTATTTTGGTCATTGTCTAATTTACAATATTTTTTTTGTTTTATTTACAATATTGTCTTTGTTTTTTATCTAAACAGCTATATTTGACTCAAATATAGTAAATGTTGATTGTTTAGTATGGTTTCATCTCTTCTTTATTTATTTTTTGACAGTTATGAGACTGCTTAGAACGGAATTATCTGTGCCTCCAGCTTAAAAGGTTGCAGGTCATAAAAAAAGTGACACTGATGAGATTGTCTGTCAGTTTCTCAAAGATTGAAGAAATCTTTAGTGTTTTAGGGTTAAATGTTTCAGAGCATTGCTTGACCATCTCTTTTGATTTATTGAATTTATTTGCTGGTTATAGAGGAAAAAAGATCTTCTAAACCTTGAAAAAAAATTATGGAACAAAGACACCTTATTGATCAATAGTATGTATCAGTGAATTGATATTAGTTAATAGTAATTTGGAAACAGTACCATCTACTATTAAAGTTTCCAATTTTTAAAATATATGATACATTCATATGAAATTTACAAACAAATGATACAATATGATACGTGGTTGATTTTAATTATGTTGTATATCAGAATGTTTTATATAAATGCCTATTACATTTTATTGTGTTTTTTATCTTTTATGCCCAGTTAGCAATGTATTTTGTGTAATAATGGCTACTTATCTCAGATAACTATGACATCTAAAGGGTGTATTCACCACAGCTTTTTTTTATAGCGAATACAACCTATCTTGGAGAATTTTATACTACTGTGTAGTTGTGGTCAAGGGTAGGAGAAGCTTAAAAACCTGTATGAAATTCGAATGGTATTCTTCTTAGTGTTACATTATAAAAGTTTTATAAAAAAAATTAGTCCTGGGGTCAATGTTATAAAACTTTTTATCGGCGTAAAATGCTACCGGCTGTAAATTTTATAGGCGTAAATGATTTGTTTCAATGTTATAAAAGTTTTTTTAAAATTACCGTCCATAAATTTCTACAGCCAAAACGTTTACAGTTCCGGAGGAGCAACCAACGGAAATTTTGGTTGAAGATCCAGAGATATGAATATATTTAGTTGTAGAAATTTTAATTTCGAGCGATTTCTTTGTTAATATTTTGTTACTGAATTTGTCATGTAAGAAATGTAACTGCTCTTATTAACTACTTTTTAGAAAAACATTGCTTATAAATTTTATACTTTCATTCAACTTATTATTTATAAACCTAGTTCTGAGCTTCTATTTATCTAATTTTTTTCTTTTCTGTTGTGATTTAATATTTTTTGTTAAGCTTATTAAATTTAACAATAATTATTAAAACACAACAGAAAAGCAAAAAAAAAATTAGATAAATAGAGTTAGGGTTATAAATAATAAGTTGAAGAAAAGTTTAATATTTGTAAGCAATTCTTTTCTAAAAAACAGTTAAAGTTATAAAGTATAGATAAGCAGTTATTTATTATTCTAATCTTTCTCAAACTGAAGTATTTTCTATTCATCACTATAATTGTTAATATTATTATTACTATAGTTTTATCATTATAATTATTATGATTCTTACTGTTGTTAATATTGTCATAATTTTTTTAAATATTACTGTTTTTGTTATACTACTGTTGTTGTTGTTTTTATTGTTTTATTATTGTTGTTGTTATTTTTACTGTTATTTTTGTTATTATTATTATTAAAATAGTATAGTGTATACTTTTTATAATCTTTACTATTACTTTTAATCACTGTTATTACAACTATTATTATTCTTTACTCCTACTTGCATTATAATTATTATTATTCATACTTCAATAATAATATAATGATGCTAATAATATTAACATCGTTTTATTAGTATTGAAGTATACAGGTGTTTATTTCATATTACTACTTATTACTATTTGTAAATAACCTTGAGATTTCAACTTTATAAGAATATATTTGCTTTGATTTCTTTTGATCACTGAAAATTTGAAAGTTAATGAAAAACAATGAAGCAAAAGCAATTATATATATATATATATATATATATATATATATATATATATATATATATATATATATATATATATATATATATATATATATATATATATATATATATATATATATATATATATATATATATATATATATATATATATATATATATATATATATATATATATATATAAAGACAGTGCTCAATGCTCTTAAAGAACAGAGCAATAATAAATTAGTAAAAACACTTTTCTAATTTTTATCTTCGAGAGCTTGTTTCTCCAACAGTAGGTTTGTCAGGAAGCCTGATCAACTATTGAACCTACTGATAAGTCTTCCTCACGAACCTACTGATGGAGAAACATGTTGTTAAGAAATAAAACTAGATAGGTTTTTTTACTTTTATATATATATATATATATATATATATATATATATATATATATATATCTATATATATATATATATATATATATATATATATATATATATATATATATATATATATATATATATATATATATATATATATATATATATATATCATGATTGAAAGTTAATAAACAAATTTAACTTTTTAGATTAACTTTACAAATTTTATTTTAGACATTGGAGCCTGAAAGAAAACTATCAGGAATTTAAAGTGCTTGAAAAAGAATTTAAAGTGTTCCAACGTTTGTTTTTGAGCTAATTAGAAAAATCCACTTATGCTAGATTTAGTAGGACTATTTTTGATCCAAAAATCAGATCAACTTTAGTTTTAGACAAACTCAAAATGGACAGGCAAAAGAAATTTCTCCATTTAAAATTTATGCAGAGTTTATTTGAAATTTGAAATAGTAAAACAAATGGTCAAACTATAAACAGAATTATTAAAGTTCTAGAAATTACCTTTGATGTTCGAATTTGGTATGAGCTCAAATATTTTTAATAAAGTCATATAACAAAATTCATTAAAGATTTTTCTTCTTATTCACAAAGTGTTTAGCATTATGTACAACTTGTTTTCAAAGTTTTTCATATTGTCTATGGTCAAAACTTATTGTGTTACAATTGTAAGTTTACAATTGGGTAAATATATATATATATATATATATATATATATATATATATATATATATATATATATATATATATATATATATATATATATATATATATATATATATATATATATATATATATATATATATATATATATGTATATATATATTGCTATTGTTTTGCTATTGTTTTGCAGTGGAAGCTATTAAAATTAGTCTTAAGAGAAGGATGAAATATTTTATATAAGTGCAAGAGAGTGCTAGATAAGTTATAATATTTAGACAGATGTCCAGTATTGAGAAGTAGTGTATGAAAGGGGAGTTTTATTTAATTATTAAGTGTTGTTTCAATGTTATGTAAGTTGTGTTAGTTAATATGTTTTGTGTTTGTAGCGTTCTAAATGTTAAAGTTTTATACGTTATTTAATGTCTTTATTTGTATGAATCTGCATGTTTGTAAATATTTTTTGTTTTGAATGCAATGCATCTTATTAGAACTGCACTGAGCAGTAAACGCTTTAGAGATGCATAACAAGTTAAAAGTATGTAGCAGATTGAGATAAAAGTACACAAGGACTGATGTCCGTTAAAATAAAGTGCCTCTAAGAAGAGAAATAATGAAAATTAATCATAGTTATATGTAGTTAATATAAACAGATATATCAAACCATAGCCAAGGAAACTACATGTAGTTAATTATTTTGATAATGAAAGGTTATAGTAGAGTTACTGTAGAGCATAAATGTGATGCATAAAGTGTCAACCGTGGAGCATAAATGCGCATCATTGATGCCTCATGGTATGAATTCTGTGATCTGATGTGGTTTATGGTCTGGTTCAAAATGGTAATATTGATATGTTTAGATAAAGTTGTTTGTGTTATGTATAATTTCCATTTAGTTAATATGTTTTAATGTGGTTCTTTGTTTTATATTTATTGTGAAGCCGTGAACCTTAGTCATATGCGGAGTGTTTTATTAACGACACAACAATGGCGTTACAAGTAGGATCCGATTTGACTTTAGATGATCCAGACAATGCAGAAGCATGGATTAGATGCTTTTCAGCATCCGCACGTTCAAAGAAATTAAAAGATGAGATAAATGGTAGCTATGAGATAACAGATTTCTTTATGGCAAAAGCAGGCATTGAAGCGATTACAAAGATTTCCCTTATGGTATATCCAGAAGAATTAGAAAATATGATGTTCGATGATATTAAAACTGTTGTTATGTCCCATTTGAGGCCTCAAAAACGACTAATTATTGCTGAAAGTGTTCAATTTTTAGCATTAAAACAGCAAAACAATGAAAACATCGTATCATATGCACAAAGATTACGCGGAGCTTCGCGCTTTTGCAACTTCGAAAAATTGGGAAGAGACGGCCAAAGCGCGGAAGATGATTTGATTCAAATGAGATTGATTGATGGCCTCCAATCTTCTGATCAGAGAGTTAAAGCTCTAGAAATGATACAGGGTGGAGAATCGCCTAAACTAGGAGCATGTATTGATTTTATCAGGCAACTGGAGAAAATATCCTGTTTTAGTATACAAAACAACATTGAAAACAGCATAGACCTTCCTTCAGTTAATTACATTGATAAAAATAAAGAAAGAACAATTAAATGCAAGTATTGTGGCCTTCAACACCCACCTAGGAAATGCCCAGCATTTGGGAAGAGTTGTAAAAAATGTGGGAAGCTGAACCACTTGAAAAACATATGCAAAGCAAACATTAAATATGAAAAAATAGTAAAAGAAATAGAGAACGATGATGCTATTGAGTATTCCATTAACATGAATGATGCAAACTCAGAGATTAGTGTAAAAATTAATGACTACAATATAAAAATGCAAGTTGACACCGGAAGTCATGTCACAATTATTCCAAAGATTTTTTGGGAACTAATGTCTAAACCGAAATTACAAAAATGGTACCTTCGCCTGAAACAGTTTGATGGTACAGTTATAAAAGTCCTAGGTGAATTTGAGGCAACTTTGGAAACCGAATCAAAAATAAATATTGTACGAATTATTGTTGTAGACTGTACAACAAATCATGGTCTAATCGGTATGGATGTATTAAATATCAATCCCACAAAATTAGTTAATAGTATGGAACCTATTGTTCAGGGGCGTTTAATTAATTACAAAGCAAATATTCTGTTAAAAAAACGGCACGCAACCCACTTATTTTGAATATTGACCTCTTCCTATTTACATAAGACCACTAGTGGTAGATAAACTTAATGGAAAAATACAGCAAGGGTTGCTTCAAAGGGTTCCTCCTAGGGGAAGCAGATGGGCTTCACCACTTGTGGTTGTTAGAAAAACAGACAAAGATTTACACAGTTGTGCGGATTACAAAATAGGTGTTTACCAAAAAATATGCTCAGACTCATATCCTATCCCAAACATTGAGACCCTATTTTATAAAATGGCAGGGATGAAATATTTTGCTAAAATTGATCTCAAGAGAGCTTATCATCAAATTGAGATGGACAAAGAGGCACAAGGAATAACAACAGTTAATACCCCTATTGGATTATTAAGATGGACCTGTTTACCTTTCGGAATAAAGACTGCAAGTGCGATATTTCAAAGAGCGATAGAATCTGTTCTTGGCGATATTATTCCCAATATGATTATATTTCAAGACGATATATGTGTCAGTGCTAAAAATGCTGAAGAACTCAAATCGAATTTGAATAAAATATTGAGCAAATTGAAGGAATCAGGAATGAGCATAAATAAACGAAAGTCAGTGAATGAAACATAAAGCCTTTCATTTTTAGGATATGAACTGTCAGAAAAGGAAGTTACCCCAGATCGTAATTTAGTCAGCAAAATACTCGGATTAAATCCTCCTAATGATAAAAAGGAACTCGAGTCATTTATAGGATTAATAAACTTTTATGGTCGACACATTGATAAATATGCTGAAAAATTTTTACCTTTAAACAATTTAAGAAAGAAAGAAGTTATTCGAATGGAGGAAAGAGCATCAACAGGCATTTGAATTGCTAAAAAAAAACCTTTGTGAAGAACCCGTAGTAAAAGTTTATGACATCAACCAAGATCTAGAATTAACAACAGATGCAAGTGAGAAAGCTATATCTGGAATACTTTCACAGAATGGCCATCCGGTATTGTATCTCTCACGAACTTTATCAGACGCTGAGACAAGATATTATAATATTGAGAGAGAAGTGTTAGCTATTGTGTGGTCTGCTCACAGAGCTAAGCATTTTTCATCAGATCACAGGCCATTAGAATTTATATTTGATAGTAACAAAGAATTGCCCAAAGTCACATCCGCTAGAATTTTAAGATAAGCCACACAAATGATGGCATTTGACTACGAAATAAGCTACAAAAAGGGAGAAAACATTCCTCATGCTGACGCATTATCGAGATTATCCTTTCTACCAGAAGATGAAGAGAAGGACCAAGAAACATTTATACTTTTAGTCGAGTCAGATATCGTGAACCTTGAGCAAATAATAAAAGAAACAGAAAATGATAGGAAATTGATGCCTAAATGAGCCTAGTATACTTATGAATAATGAAGACAGTATGCGGTATGATCATATCAATAATGAGAAAATCGATCCTTGCAATAGTGATAAATCTGATATGCCCGAACTACGTATTACTAAAGGAGAGCCTAACCAGGATCGAAGAAGTACACGGTCGACGAGGGGGCAAAAGTCAATACGTTTCAGGGATGTGAAGCCGTGAACCTTAGTCATATGCAGACAAATAGAAACAATGTTTATATATATATACATACGTGGCGATATTAAAATGTATAATAAAGATGGCTTACTTATAAGAATATATATATTTAAATATAGTACAGTGTTTTATTAACGACACAACATTTATATTAAGACTAACTTTTGTGTATTTAAATTCAAATGTATAGTGTAATTTTAAACTGAGTATATATAATATTTCTACTTATTTATAAGGTCTATTTGTCATACTAGTTTTATATTCAGTTTATGCGCTAATTAATATATACATTTAAGTATAGTTATTCTTTTAGTATTTAGTTTAAAATAATGAGGTATACTATAAGTATTTCTTTTATATTAAATTTATTTTAATCTTGTACGGTTTAGTGATGGGATTGTTTAAATTTAATTAATATGGTTTAATGGAAATAATAATCGTTTTAAAGTTAATTTACTCTAAATGGTCAAATAAAAATATTTGTTTTATATGTTTATTTTATATGTATATATGTTATATATTATATTTATATGTTTATTTTTTATTTGCTTTTAATTACATTGAACAGTTCAGTCCGATGCATTTTGTCTGAAATTAGATTCTATAATTTGAATGCTTAAGACCCATAGCAGGCCTTGTTTTAAATAAAAAAATGCTTAATGCATAGCTTAACGCGATATTTGCCAACATAAAATTCTGTTAATTTTTTTAGACATTTTTTTAAATTACTGCAATAATTTTAATTACCTCAAAACAAATTAAATGTTATTTATCGGCTCTTTTTTTTAATACTTTAATGGAATGCTTTTTTTTTTTAATTATTTTCAATAATTAAATTTAATATTGTATTTTTAAAAAAGTTTGATATTACCAAATTTCTTTTTTTCTCAACATTTGCATAAATGAATCGTTAAATTTAATATTTTAAATTTTTGAGTTTATAAAATGATTATATCCTAAATTTCTAATTGCGGCTTTGCAACTGCAAATGATTTTAATTTAAAAAATTTATTCAATTTATTTAAAGTTTATAAGTTTATCATTTTATTAAAATTACATATGTTATAAAAAAAATATTTAGTAACATTTTTAAATAGGTTAGGCAGTTAAGTTAAATCCAAGCCATTAACTTTAAATTTTAATAAACTTGCAAATATTTTTTAAATCAAAATAAAGTTATATATTTTTTACAGCTAAATTAAATTATATATCTTTTTATCAGAATAAAGTTATATATTTTTATTAAATTAGTTTTAAATTAAGTCATGTAAAAGTTGTCATTCAAACTTTTGTAACAAATATTTTTACATAAATGTCATTCAAAAGTTAATGTTTTTTTTTTTTTATTCTTAATTACTTCTTTTATCTTACCACTTATACTAAAATTTATTAGTTAAAAATTGATAAAAAGTTGCTTAATCGAAATGGCTTACTGCTTATGTAAAAATCTCTCAAATTGCTTTAAACAAGGCCTTTCTACAAGATACTACACTTTAGTGTTTCCATTACCCAGCCAACAATATTTGCCTGGGTAATCGGTAATGAAAAAGTTTTATAACTTTTATCTTTTAACTACGTTTTTATTTTTTTAAATTTTTTGTAACTGACTCATTAGAATCAGTACAGTGGGGTATCTCCCAATCTATTTCTTATTTTAGTGGCAAAAAATTCCATGCCTAAAAAAGCTCGTTCTGTCTCCACTGATGTTGGTTTCATAGTTAACAACAATTTTTAGGCCTTGCACGAGTAGCTTTAAATAAACCCATCTTTTTTTTCAAAATTTTAAATCCAATCTTATCTATGGTAATGGCTTCATGCTCTGTTTGTTAAATAAAGTTTATTTGGTATTTCTTTATGGTATCTATGGTACTATGGTAATTATTATTATTATGGTACTATGTTAACTATGGTACTTTCTTGTTAATACTTCAGTGACCATGCTGTGTTACAGTTCAAAAATTACAAATGTCTGTAAATACGGGTATGTATTATACATTGTAATATATGGATTGATTTTTACATGTTTTCAAGCATACCTAATTTATGAATGATCCCAAAGTCCTGGTTGCATGTATTTGAATTATGTTTGAATTTAGATAGTTAATGTTTTAGGCTATGGCTGATAAATCAAGATCTCAACCTCTCACAGAAATCACAGGGAAAATAGATTTTATTAGAAATGTTTATTATGTGATCATTGATACTCTTAAATGTCAACTTAGTTCAAGAAGACAAGCTTATGAAAAAGAATGTAGATATTTAATGTTTGAATTTAGAAAACTAGAATTAATATATTTGTATATATATATAATTCAATTTTTTATTTATGTATATGTTTTTATGTTCTATTTTTGCCATTTCTTTTAATATACATAAACTGTTATTGATTCTTTTATATTTTTATTAAAAGAATTTTATATTTAGCACAAGTTCAAAAATGTTTTTTTTAATTTATTAAATTTTTTTATCATTTTTATTTTAGTTCGACCTTAAAGTTCTACTCTACTTCATTATTTATGATTAGTTTGACTACTGTTGAAATATGGTTTTAATTTAGTAAATTTTCGTGAACTGAAATTTACTTTATTGATTATTAGCCAACAGTTTTAGTAATAAAATTGAATTTAACACTGTCAAGGTAAGAATAACTTTGTTTTCTTGTTACACCATATAACAGTTTTTTATTATTAATACCATGTTATTGCTAATTTGTGTAACTATACCTGAGTTGACTAAACAGCTGACATATTTCTGAAAATCTAATAGTTTGTGTACTGAGAATTGTTGAAGCACTTGGTTTATGTAATTTGGTTTTAACAATTTCTGAATATAGTCTAAAATAACAAAGTTTGCGATGGATTTGGAGTAATGGTAAGTGTCTCAGCCTAAAAATTGCATTACGGTTCATAATCATATCTATATATTTATCATATCTATCACAATAGCACTGAGCCTTTTTCTTGTTACTCTAGATACTTTAGGTATATTTTACTATTAATTAACAAAACTTTGTGATTTAAGTTCATGTTAAATATGGCTTTTATCCATAATATTTTTTAGGAATTTCTTCAATTTTATTGTTTTAAAATTAGTGTTAACCATTTACCTGCAGGCCCCTATATATAAATTTCCTGATATTATTTCAAAATTTAAGTTTCTTAAGTTTCATCGTCCATAATTATACTTGATTTCTTTTTACACAATAATTTGTAAAACTTTCCTACTCAATTTCTTGCTATAAATTTTTTTCAGCATTGTGACTTGAAGCTTTATATATCTTAAAATTATTGACTATATGGTTTTTCTTTATAGTCTGGACCTTTTCTCTAAAACTTATGCATTTTTGGGCCAAAACTGGCTCAGCCATGTAAGGATTTGCCATAGTTTTGACCAAAGCAATAATCATCTTTTTTTTATTATTGATTTTCAAGTAGTTTCTACTTGCACACTTTCTATTTACT